GGGGATTAATCTAGAAATGATGAGGCTATGGGCGGGACAGGATTATTATCTTTCCTTTTCATCTTGTCAAAACATGATTCTTGTCCTTGCCATCTGGTTTTATCTTGTTATTGATATAGTGCCGGGGTTGTGATTATATGCTTTCATATTGTGGCAATTGTAGAAGAAATTTTGAGAGATCATAATGGGAAGCATAAAAAATAAGCCAGTTTTGGTCATCATAATTTTGTGTCATGCACATGTATCCAGAATTTTTGGAGATAGAAGGAGTACTCGACTGACACACATTTAGAAAACATGATCACATTTATATGCATTATTATTTGAATAAAAACAAGTATGCAGTAGATAATTTTTTTAGGTACTTAATGTTTGATATCCTCTTCTGCTTCTTCATCTTGCTTTTCCTTGTTTGAATTTTGGATGTTCTTAAAAGTTCTTAGAGGTGGTTTAAACCTTGCTTCTCATATAAAATGAAAATGAAGAGAGAGAGAGAGAGAGAGAGAGAGTTGGTCATGTAAACATCAAGCTACTGGGTCAGATATGTCGAATACACGCCTACTGGGTCATACAGTAGTAGCCTTTGAAAAGTGTGCATGGTTTTTGTAGGTTGTGTGATTGCTTATTACTAACATTTCTCTCTCAATTCCTTTATTGTTCAGCTTCCTGCACGGTTATGAGATTGAGAAGACGGAAACTGGGGCTTGAGGGCCACATTTTCTTCCGTCTTTGTGGCTTTTGTTGAAGACACAGGAACTGTACGCCTGACTCCTCCCTCCCGACTCGTTTGGTTAATGCTTGTTATCATCTCATTCTGGAGTACATAGTAACACTTGTGAAAGAGGATATCGACAGTCCTGACAATCAGTCAAGAAAAGTTATCGCTGATCGAGTCCAATCTGGAGTACATTCTGGGTAACTAAGTTACTGTAACGAGTAATTTAAGTCTTGCTAACCATTGTTTTCTAGTAGCTGATATATTGAGCCCTCAATGTCATTCAACTGAATATCAATTTTGACGATTCAAAATCCTAGTAGTTGCACGTCGTTGTTCATGCTAGTTGCTATGTACCATTGCTGTTCCGCAGCCGACATATTCACTCACTTCAGCCAGATTAGTTTACCAGTTTCCTCTTTTTTAATCAATCAACCTTTTGACTATTTTAACATATTTTTAATTACTACTCCCTCCGGTGATATTTTGGCATTTTTTTTGTCGTCCAAAATATCTGATTTTTTTAGATTTCAAGAATGAATTAATTATCTTTTTCCTACATTGCCCTTAGAGTAAATAGTGTTGAAATATGTGTTAGGAGTGTTTATGTGAAGAGATAGTAAATGTTAATATGATCAATTTCATTGCTAATTAATGTTAAAAGTTAAATTTTTTAATATGTGCAAAAATAGTCAAAAAAATTACTTATTGTGGACCGAATACAATAGTCTTTTAATAGACAAGTCCATTTCTATCAAATGATTTCACACAAAATGCAGCGGAAAGAGCAGACGTAAGATATATTTTGGAAATTGATACTATCATGCCAGTACTTGGTCTGTTCAATTACTTAAGGAGAAACAAAACAAAACAAAACTGCTTGACTTAAAAGAAAAGTTTCAAGTTATCCCACATCGGTAAGTGAGTAAATATGAAAGCCAGGAGCTGAGTATTAAAAGGAAAGAGTGAAGAAAGTTGAAATCTTAAAAAGGGTCGGTTGGCTAAATATGCCACACTCGCCCGAGTGGTGAGTGCCGTATGGATATCAAGACATATGGCCGACATAATTTGTGGAATTTTTATAGGGTTGGCTCGCTGGCCGACCCTCCATTGCTTCTCTCTTAAACTTTAGTAATATTTTTTATTTTTTATGTGTTCTGCGCTACTTTGTGTAAAATATTGATTCTTTCGTCTAATGAGCTTTTCTTCAACTTTACTACTAATATTTCTGTTGAGTTCTGTGTGCAAAATATAACTATCAAGTGATACCGTATGAAAGTCTGCCACTTATTTTTTTTAGTCTGTAACAATATTTTTCAGAATATTCTATAAAATTTCTTTTATTAACGTGATGAGTTATATAAGCCTGTTTAACCGAGCTTAAAAAATCGCGTTTTTTGCGGAAGTACTTTTGGTAAAAAATAATTTGTGTCTAGCTAATTAATTTAAAAAACATTCCTGATCAGTAATTTGATTTGGCCAAGATTTAAAAAAGTAATTTTAAGAGTATTTTTTCAAAAGTGATTTTTATTTTTGGGGAGAAATTACTTTTTTCTACTTTTTCAAAACTACTCCGGCTTCTACTCAAAATTATTTTTTATTTTTTTAAACGCTTGGTCAAACATCTAACTTCGAAAAAACAAACCTTGCTTTTGGCTTTGAAAAAGGTTGGCCAAACACGCTAATAATCATATTGAGTAAATATTTATGGCTTATTTTACATTATAAATAAATTTATAATGTTTGTCTTTTTTGTTAAATTTCATCACCTGCCAAATTGCAGTTAGCAAAGGGACGAAAGCAGTTAGCAAATCTCTCTTCATAGCTCAAACTTGAAGTATCACAGAGGAGAATTTTAAATTATAGTTCAAATTTTAGGAGTAAATTTGGACTTTTTTTTTTTTTTTTGGGAAATTTTTTGGTACGTGAAATTCATTTAAGTCATGATGGAGCTCCATTTAAATTAAAGGAGAATTTACTAATGATAAGGGTGTGAATAACCACAAGTTAAATTAAGAATAAATATACAAAAGGAGAATTTATTTATGACGAGGGTGTGGATGATGGAGCTCCGTTAAAACTTGAAGTATTACAGATAAGAATTTAATATTCTAATATTAGGGGTGTTAATGACCGCAAAGTATAGTAATGAATACAATTAGGATATTTTGTGTAGTGAAAAGGTAAATTTAGACATTTTTTTTATTATTTTTAATTTAATGCAAGAACCAAACATCCGTAACATAATTGAATTGTGATTTCTTAATCATTAAACTATTTTTTATTAATAATTGAATTAGAGGACTCAAGATGCTCTTGTTTTTTGGTTATTTGACTAATCTAAGAAGGAGACTAAAAAGTACTCCTATGCTTTAAGGGGTGGATAAATTATTTTAGTACAGTCAGAAATGTTCTTCTAAATCCTGATATAAAGTAACAAAAACTAGTGTTAGGGGTCGATTGATTCCATCTTCTGTCTATGCCTTTTTCATTGGGTGTTTGCTTGAGTCCATTCATTTTGTATATTCTTTTTTCGTCAAAGTTGGTTCAACAGTGCCCCCACAGTAGACACTTTGACTGGGGCACAGAAAGAATATCTAGAAATACGTATGTTTGTTCTAAATTGATGTACCTTAGTCACATTTGTTTTTTAAATTTCAAATATACTACTAGGTAGAGTAACACATTTAGATTTATGTGTATCAGCATCCCTATATAACAATTATTCACTATTGTTTACCTTCAAAATTGAATAACAATTAAATTTATAATGTGAATTTAAGGACACGTGATTTCACTTAATACCGATTAATAAATATGAAGATTAAAGATAGAATTATACAATAAAGTAAATCAAACTAGTGTTTGAGTAGAAACTCAACCCTTGAGTTAGAGTATCTTCGAACTGATTGATGCAAGGATAATAAGAACACAATAAGCTGAAGAACAAGAATGAGAGCGAGGAAGAAAATTATATTGCTTTCGTTATCAGTCGTGCCTACAAATGGTTAGAACTCCCCTTTATATAGTAGAGGAATTCTATATATGGTACAATTTCAATTACAGAAGGAAATTCCATGATTAACTAAACAACCGTTCTTGATTCGATCCGTTCCGAGATTTCCGCCATGATCTTCGACCGGTCGCGAATATCTCGCTTTTCTGTTATTACGCAATCTTCGGTATTGCTCGATACGCGTCTCGTTCGGTCTCGATTGCTGTCAGTCTCGATCTTGGCAGGTGCCTCGAACCCCGATCTCGGTATCTTATCTTCGTGCCTCTATCCGATCTACTTCGGAGTCGTCCTTCGATGCAAACTCCCGGTCTCGGTCAAACAGTAAAATCGGGCGGGCCCGATTTTAACCGTATACAGATAGTCCTCTCATTTGTTTGGAGTGTAATGACAAGAAACGAATTGAGCCTTCAATTTTCTACCTCGACCTGTTATAACGTCATCCTTGTGACGTAAGCGACAGAAGTGACTGAAATGTCCCGTCTATACAGTTTCCTAGGCATTAAATGCGCGTCAGTCGATGGTCGGCCACCGCCAATATTGAACCGTCGTTATGAAATTTATAAGTAGCCCCTCTCTCTACTATTTCGAACTTTTACTTTTAGATTCTTAATCTTCAAAACTTTGTATATCTTCTAACCTCTTCATCTGTACATCTACGATTTTCACTCCTATCATCCCCTCAAAACACCAAATTATCATCTGCATCTATTTTCAACTTCAAATCCATACAAAAATGGTAAAAACATCAAAGACTGTTCCTCAAAAGGAAAACCATTCTTCATCGCAGTCGGCCGACGACAAAATGCCGGTAGAGCCACGACCTGAAGAGCGTGTTCCCGTGGGGTGTGTTATTACTTCTCACTTCAAAACCGATAAAGTCTCGTCGATTCCTGGTCAATGCGAGCCAGTGTTGAGGTACATATGTTCGATAACTGAAGGGTACCTTAAGCAGGTAAGGAAAGACTGCAACTGGAAAGGCAAAGAAGTGGTAATACCGATCCCAAAAGAAGACATTACCACCCATGTGGAAGGGTTTTTAAGTGTTTACACCTACCCTTTTACGCTGGGCCCCCTCGACCCCGTCGTCATCAATTTTTGTCGTTAGTACCAAATAACCCTAGGCCAAATTCACCCTTCTTTTTGGTGCATTGTTATTCTGCTCCGATTCTTCGTGAGCAAAGTCGAGGCGATGCCTTTCACCATCGACCACCTCATCAGGTTATACAGCTGCCGCCTCTATCGAGGCGGATTGATAAAACTCCAACGTCAGGCCACCAAAGTGCTATTCTCGAGCATAAATGAGGGACAGAGGCTGGATGGGCCGGTTTGTTCGAGTGAGGACTTCCGACCTAATCCCGACCGAGAAGATTCCATTTTCTGAGAAATGGAATATGAAGCGTAAGTATAATTCCACTGTTAATTTTTATTTGTGGTTTTGGCCCTTTGCTTCTTCACATTGATATCCTTTTTCGTGATGTAGCGGTTGCTTGGATGCCTGGTGCAATTCCTAACCTCAAGAGCTGGGTTTGGGACCTGGCTTCCACCTCTTCGTACGCTGAGCGCTCATGGCGCGATTTATAAAAGGGCCGATAGGAGGCCAAAACTCATGGTAAGCCATTTTCCTATGTCCTTGATGATTCGATCAAATGTCTTTCTTATACTTAACTAATTTTCTTGCGTGTAGGCCTGGGCAAAGATACGGTCATGAGGCCCCCGTCTGGTGAGGAAGAGACCACGGCCCCGGTTCCGAAATCGGCAAAAGACAATAAGAGAAAAAGGGCCTCGGCTTCCGAGGATCCAAAACTTAAGACAAGGATGACTCGTAAGCCGAGGAAGAACACCATCCCTCTTATCGAACAATCTATTCGGCGTCTGAGGGATGAAGACGACGAAGAAGAAAACGACGACAGCTCCCTACTGGTGGCCCGAGTAAAGACAACCATCGATGCCCCAAAGACAACTAGATCGATGGTGGTTGATGAGGCTCCGCCTCGAACTGAGGGGATATAGGAGAAGGACTCAGGCAAAGTCCCCGAGTCATTGGAGATCGAGGACGTCTCCCACCGAAATGAACAAACGGTGGGTATATCTGAAGGGACCGGCCCTGAAGCTCTTCGAACTGAGGAGAACGCCCCAAGTGACTCCCTTGGGGAAATAGTAATCGGAGACTCGCCCACTCTCCCTACTTTTTCCCGAAGGGGCGATTCGGGAATCTCGAGCTTTGGGGACCCTCGAGGTAGACGGAGCTCATGAGGGAGAGGACCCCTTTCGTGATTTGTTTACAAGTATCGAGGATACTGCCGGCCCGAGTGACACATCGGGTCTTTTCTTCGAGGCTCAACGAGCCCTGAATTGGGTAAGTCTCAATTCCCTTTGTTGATGTCATATTTTTTCATTTTCTGCCTAACTTTCTCT